TTCATAAGCCCCGAACGGTGTATAAAGCTATGAGTTTGGCACTAGAATTTGAATCCAAACTTACATCTAATTCAGATTCCAAGTTGTCTTCGTAGCGGAAACCAATTGTCTACACCAAATAAACCAACCCCACAACACCATTCATCTATTCCCAGATCCATACTTCATCCAGATTCAGTTAAACTTCCGACAACAGCGCAAACTGCACAAGCACTTACAATGGAGGAGCGACAATTACGAATGGCGAAAGGCCTTTGTTTTCGATGCAACGAAAAATTTGGACCGGGGCACCGTTGCAAAATATCAAACCTTTCACTCATGGAAGTTATGAATGGTGAAACTCCAGTCGTAAGAGATAAAGAATCCATCAATTTATGTACCGAAGATTCTTCTATGGCAAGATTGGCCGAAATTTCCTTTCCGCCTTGAGGACAAGGCGAATTTTCAGGGGGGGTGTACTGATACAATTCCAGGAGATTTGAATAATATGGATAAGGATAAGCCATATCCATAACTGCTCCAGAGGAGCAGTTTCTATTTAGTTATTAGGAAGTTAATGTTAGTTTTATATAAATAGTTTTTCCTTGTTAGTTTTTAGGGGGATTTGAATGAGTATTCAGTGTGAAATTCTGGAGCATTGTCCTCTCCATACGGACAACCTACTTGGTGGATTTTATGTTTAAGATTCTTGCATTAAATCTACTTTTGTTTTATCTTTTATTGTAGTTTTAGTGTTTATCTCTATTTCCTTAATCGGTATCTATCAATATGTGGGGGGGAAAGTCTCTTCAGCCTTTGCAACACCCATGTATAATGGTCTTCATTTTCATGGCGCATAAATACCACTCCAACAGTAAATTTTTTTCCGACAGGAGTAACACCAACAATCTCCAACAAAGGCAATTTGTACTGATTGGTTTTATAAGTACTGTCAAGTAGTATAACGTACGGAAACTTACTTAACAATTCGACAGATAGAGGGTGAGCCCACATCAAATCAATAACTTCATGTGTGGTTTCATCTTTACTGAACCACTTGTATAGTTATGCTCCTCAAGCAACCCAATCAAATGTTGCATCACTGTACGGTCACCCCTAGCTAATCTTCTCAATTTCGCCTTTTCATTATATATTTGTTTCGAATAAGCATCGAGACCCAAGCCATTTTGTCTCAAGTTAGCCAAAATCTTCTTGGGCGGCACATGACTTTGTGAAAGATCCTTGATAATCTTCACCCCCGCTTCATTCAATGCACTAATCCCATGCCCAGACATGTATATCGGAAAATGACTATGCTTCCCATATACTATTCTGAGCCCCCATTTATCGTCCAACCGCCGCTCTCCGACAATTTGAAAACCACAGTTTAATTTTTTGCTACCAGACCTTTTCGAGGTCGCCTACGTTAGTTTTTCGGGGCCCTCCGAACAGGTCACAAGTCAGACACACTTTCTTTGTTTTGGGGGCATTTTTTTAATTAATCTCACGAAAAGAAAAGAGCTCTTGCAACGGACCTCGCCCAAGCCACTAACTCGTCCGCCGAGTCAAACAATTGAGTTGTTGTAAAATAATCGGTATGATCAACTTCAGTTGTAGACGTATTGTCCTGATAAAAACATTAAAAAATTATTTAAAAAAAAAAAACGGATTTGAACCGGACGCTCAACTCGGGCGCCCAATTAAGCAATGCACGCCCAAGTTGGGCGTGCAGTTGGCTTCCGGACGCCCGCATTGGGCGTGGAGCTGGGCGTTTGCACAATTTTCCCGGTTTTTTCGATCGAAAAGACGGAATTTTTACCTCGTTAGATCCGCTATCACGGTCTTCATCCGATGAGCTCATTTGTGTTCGTATATCACATCAACAAGAATAATTTTTAAGCAAATTTCCTTCAAAAACTTCTTTTTCTAGAGAGAGAGAATATTTTAATAATAAACCGCAAATAGCAATTTTACAATCGCGAAAAGCAAGTCCCAATTGGACTATAGGTAATTCGAATGAAAATAGTATAAAAAAATTCGATTGAAATCGGCCTTTAAATCAAAATTTTCATTCTGATTTCCATCCCTACCGCCGGGTCTATACCGTAGGGTAATAGTAATTTTCGATTGCATTATTGTGTGTGCTTTTTTACTTTTCTGTTTTTGTCTTTCTAAATGTTTTAATAATAAAAAAAGAAAAAAATAAAACTTTTTAAAAAGGATAATCAATACTCAATAGTCAATAGTGTACATATAATAATTAATAAACAAGTCCAAGTGAAGAAGAATATCGAGAATACAATATTAATATTAATTATTTATTATTTTTTTTTTTTAAGTAAATTCAAGTCCATTACAAGGGGAAATAGGGGTGGGGGGACTCGAACCCTAGACCGTTACCCTAGTGGTAAAGGCTAGACCGTTAAATGATGTGGGTTTGTCCTTTGAAAGGAAAAAGAGAGGGAGAAAAGACTTGACCGGAAAAAAGCTGTCCCCCGCCACGTCAACGTCACATCAGC